GAGGAGGAGGAGGAGGAGGAGGAGGATAAAGGGAGGCCTCTGTAGGCCCTCATGAGGTCCCCTTAGGGCCTCCTGGGGGCTTCCTGGGAGCCTTTTGAGGGGCCTCTTGGTTGTTTGGGGGGCCTCTTGGTGGCCTCTTGGGGCCTATTTGGGGTTTCCTGGGGCCTCTTGGGGGCCTCTTGGGGGCCTCAGCGGGCTTCTATGCCTCTATGGGACCTCGCGGCCTTCGGATGCCGTCTTAGGGTCTTCTCTTGGCAGTCGTGGCCAGATACGCCTCCTGGAGGTCCTTGGAGCTCCTCTTGGAGCCCTTTGGGGGCGTCTTAGGGGCCTCTTGGGCCGATATCTTGCGCCATCTTGGGGCCATCGTGATCGTGTTGGAGGCTTCTTGTGACCGTGTTGGAGGCCATCTGGGGCCATCTGGGGCCGCCTTGGAGGTCTCAGTGCCACCTTGGGCCATGTTGGCCGTCTCGGGACGGTTTTTGTTTTGGACGTTGAGGTCTCCCCGCGTCCTTCGGTCGGCCAGCGGGTGGGGCCGAAGGCCCCCCGTGACTCGGTTGTCCGTGACCAAGATTTGCCCAACATTTGGCACGCCGTGCGCCCCTGTGGCAAGCCAACACGGGGCGGCAGATCGAAGACGCTCACGGCGAGTCACCGCCGCCCCCTGCCTTTTTGGAAGCGCCTGGGTGGCCGAAAGTTGGGTCTGAGCTTGGCCAAGCTATCTTGGGAGAATTTTTGGGAGAATTCTGCGCCCTTCGGGTGGCCGGCGGGACGTGTCGAAGCCCCAGGGGGAGTTCTTCTGGAAAGGAGTCACAACCCAAATCGAAAGGATCCAGCACGCCGGGCACCCTATTCATCAACAGGGGGCGGCGGGTCTAGCGGCCTTCGGTCCATCCCGCCACCGTGCCTGGGTTGCAGGCCAGAGGCCTCCGGGACGCCCGCGGGCAGCTCTTGGGAGGCCTCTCGGAATCCTTGTCGATTCGGTTCTGGAGAGTCTTGGGGGCCTCTCGGGGGTCTCTTGTCGGCCTCCTGGGGCCTGATTTGGGTCTCTTGGGGTCTCCCGGAGCTTCTGGGGGGGCTCTTGGGGGCCTGCTGGCGGTCTCGGGCGCAGGGCTCGAAATGTCGGTTCGTGCTCCCCCCCTCCCTGGGGCTTCTTTTGGAGCCCTACTGGGACGTCTTGGGGACCTCTTGGGCCGTTTTGGGGACCTCTCTTGGAACCTCGCTGGCTTGGGGCGATCCTGGGGGCCGCTGAGCTGTCTAGGAGCGTCGAACGTACAAAAAGGCGAGAACACAACAATCCTTCAACCTTACGACAATCCGTGATTCAGGCATCTCGGGGCCCTCTTGGGGGGCCTCTTGGGGGCCTCTTGGTGCGTTTTGGGGACCTCTTGGGCCGTCTGTGGGCAATTTTGGGCGCCTTGGAGCGATCTTTGGGTCATTCAGGGCCATCTTGGACCGCCTTAGGGGCTTCTTAGGGCCCTCTTGGCCTGTCTGGGGCCCCCCTTGCCTCTGGAACAGTCATGCGACCGACCCCAGGAGCGCCCAGGAGCGCACAGGAGATCTGGGAGTTTGGACCCTCGGAGACTGATGTCAGATTCGCAGTGGTCATGCAGAGAACTCGAAGGGATCTGAGGATACTCCAACTCGTGCCTCAGGGCGCGGTGGTAGATATTTTCGGAAAGGCCATGGAGCAATCACGAGGTGTTTGTTTGGAATAATACTCATGGGCTAGCTGCGAGTAGTATGTGAGGTAGTTGTGGCGTGGGATCGGGGGAAACGTGATGTAACAACAGCGCAACAGTGTGGACGTTGATAGCTACGAGGAGGCAATGTCAGAACTTCAAGGTTGATGTGTAATTATTCTATTTGAGCGCGAACGAGTCACCCAATGCTACTTCGTATCGTTAGAGTGCTGTGGGGTAGTCATGGGATTGTCACGAGGCGATTGTGAACTAGCTTTGGGATGGTCATGCGCTTCGGGCATCTAATTACGAGGTGTGTCTTGGGTAGCCGTTGGGACGGAATGACACAGAGTGGCAAATCGCTGGTGTCCCCATGACGTGACCGTGACGTACTCGCCACGTAGCTACAGGGTGGCAGCGGGGGTCACTCGAACGGGCATCAGGCAGCTCGAAGGGGTCCGATAGCGCAGCAGTCGTGCAGGGGAGGCCGCTCGGGGTATGGGCGGGCGAGGTATCGTCGCTCATGCCATGCCCGCAGTGGAAGCCGGTGCTCTTGCTCCAGGGGCTTTAAGGGCCTCGAAACAAGCCGGACAGCGCCCGCAGAGGCAGGGCGAGGACCAGAGGCGAGTGGTCGGGTTCGGGCGTCGCGGGGCCCCGCCGGGCAGCAGAGACGGCGGGTCACCACGCTGGCAGGAAGAGCAGGCAGGAAGAGCATCCTGGGCATGCCCAGAAACCAGCAGTCAAACAATCGGAGGCGATTCCAGAAGCGATGAACCAGTTGCGATAGCCGATAGCCGCATACATGTGTGTGTGTATATATATATAGCCGAGCGAGGGTGGAAGCGGACCGCGCAGGACCGCCGAAACCGTGAGGAGGAGATCCAGCAGAAATTGCGCAGTATGGGCGGCACTGTCAAGTCCGCCGAGGCGTAGCTCAGGACTTGGGTTCCCGAGCCCCAACAATGCCACTCCCTTGCTGCTTGACCTCTTCATCATCTTTTGTTCTGAAAGTCGCGCGCGTCTGTGTGTGTGTGTGTCTGTCTGTATGTACGTGCGTGCGTACGCGTGTACATTCGTGTGCTGGTGAACATTTCACATTCCGTTTTTTCGGGCTCGGCTTCGTCTTCGCGCGTTTTCTAGGTTTTATCCCGCGCTGCTTCACACGAGCACTGATTCAAGGTATACGGGCCCCGTTACCTTGCATCCGCAGTTCGGTTTCAGCCGCCGCGCGTCGCAGACGACAGTGTACGTGTGTTCACTTTTCTTGGAGCGCAGCCCGCCATTGCAGTGCTTGACTCGCCTGTTGTAACCAAGCTCGCAGGATTGGCGAACGTGTGTGGTACGGGACGCGGAAACGACCACAGCCACTGCTTTTCTTTTGTTGCCGCCTTCCAACCAGCAGAAACAAAGCAGTGGTTGTGGTCATTTTCGTTAAGCTTCGCACCAGGGAAACAACCACAACCACTGCTTCTTTTTCGGCCGGCTGGAAGGCGGCGCAAACAAGAAGCAGTGGTTGTGGTAATTTTCCTTTCCCGCATGTGGGTGTGTATGTTCGCCTTCCTTCGCCCCTGTCTCGGCTGGTCGACGGTTTCTGGCTACCCTGAGGATCAGGTCTCAGGATTTCCACCGTTTGCCACTCCAGGCCGGTGCAAGGCTGGCGCGGTCGCCGCAATCCGTTTCGCGTGGCCTCTTCGGTGGGCACGTCGCTCAGTTTCGCACTGCCCGTGCGGCTTGTACAGTGGAGGCGCGCATTAAAAAACCATATGCTTTTCGTGAGGGCATCCTGGGTCTCTTCGCTCTGCGAGCTGCGCGAGGACTTCCCGCAGCCGTCGAAGAAGCTTCTGCGTTCAGGGTGCTCTGTGTGTTCCCCTGAGGTGCACCTCGCGCGCGGGTTTTCAGGGCTGAGCTCAGCGCGAGGGTTCCTTGCGGCCGCGCCCGCACTGTACTTCCATCTCAAGGTCGTGGCTGGGCACAGCGGACACAGTCGCCAGCCTGCCCCAGGTACTCTTGCGGTTCCCGAGCGCACTGGGCACAAGTAAGGGGCTACTCGGCGTGGGTCTTTCGGCCTGGCGTTGCCGTCGGCGCCCAGGCACGCCTGCCGCTCTTCGGGGCGCGTCTCGGCCCCTGCACCCGCCGGCTACATGCAGCAGGCATGTGCAGTCGCGCCGAGCAGCTCAGAGCTGGAGGCTTTAGCCACCGTCTCCAGGTCCGGGCTGCTCGGCGCTCTCCTCTTCTCTCTGTCTGTCCGGTTAGTACTTGTTGTTACGCGGTGCACGCCTGTTTTGCTTCTGCACACGTGCCAGCCCAGCGCAGCTGCCCTCTTCATTGTGCGCGCGACCCGCCCTGCGTTGTCCACCCACCTGTAGCGGCAGGTGCCCCGCCTTAGCCCTCGCTGCAGGCACGCCACTCGGCCGCTGGAGGTATAGCGTGTTTGTGTGTGTGTGTGTTTGTGTGTGTGTGTGTGTGTGTGTGTGTTCGGGGGTTGCCGAAGGTGCCCCTGGCCCAAGGCGCCCCCAGCTTTTCGCTCCATTTAAAGCCCCTGGGGCCCTCTGGGCCTCGTGAGGGGTGCTCTGGAGGCCTTGGGGGCCTCCCTGGAGATCCCGGGGGCACCTTGGGCCTGGGACTCTTCTGTAGCAACACCCGATGTGTGTTTGCATCCGCATGACTTATGGCTGGCTGCTGGCGCTGCTTGGTTCCAAGCGGCTTGGGGGCTTGGCCGTCCAGACACGCGTGCGCGCCCGATTCTCTGACACGGGGCCGCGACGCCAAAAGAGTGTGTGCTTGCGCCTCTTTACCGGCGCCACACCGACGCACCAGTACCATGTGCGCGTCGCCCCCCAGGGGCGACGCGCGCACGGAGAACTCTTACAGCGTGTGCGTCATGGCGGGGGCGGTCTCCTGCCGCACCGCTCGGGAAACGGTGTGCCGCAAGATGGGTACACCACACGCTCGGGGTCGGACGCGCGCCTCCAACGTCAGCGTATCTCAGGAGAGGAAAAAAGACATAGACACAATTCATCTTCGATCCCCCCAGGAAAATATAGGAAAATATGGGAAGTGGGGGGGAAGACAAAAACCCAGAAAACATAGGAAAATATGGGGGATATTCTTAGTTGTGTGAATTTATTTTTTGTGTGTCCCAGTTCCCCTTCATATGACCTCTCCGCGCCCCGCCCTCCTCGCCGCGCCGCTGCCGCTCGCGCGCCTCGCCGCCCCTCCCCGCGGTCCACGCCACGCCGCCGCAGGAGCCCTCGGGCCTCGCCCCAACCGCCAGCCAGCCCCCCGAAGCCGGGGCAGCCTCCTGCTGCGCGCGGGCTCGCCATGGTCAACCCGATTCTCAGAGATTTCGAGTTGTCCCGATCCGATTTTGTCCCGATCTTCGTGCCGTTTTAGGCAGGGTCCGTCGTCGCACGAGTTGATTTGTGGCGTTGGTTCTGACGAGTGAGGTTTCCGCCTCCTTCGCCCGCAGCTCCTTGCGTATGCTGCACCACGGCCCCCGTCGTGCGAGTGGTCGGCCTCTGAGCAGGGCCGGATATGAGTCAGGAGGGGGAAAAACACACACAGGCACAATGAATCGTCGATTCCCCAGGGAAATATAGGAAAGTATATGGGAAGTGGTGGGGAAGACAGAAGCCCACGAAGATATGGGAACATATGGGGAATCTTTTGATTTGTGTGTACTTGTGTGTGTGTGTGTCCTGAGGCCCCTTCATATAGTAGGGAGGGGCAGCCTTCCCAGGGGTGCCCTTGCATCCTTGCCCCTCCGGCACGCCCTCAGCGACTTTCGTCGGCCAGCCTCGCTCGAGAAACGTTCGCATGGGCCTCCAGGGCCCCTGGCATCCTTACCGCGCATCCCTCTGGTGCGGGGTTGACTGTGCTGCCCTGTCCCCCACACGCAAGCGCAGGTGCCAACTCATGCTCGACCGTGTCCCGTTTTTGCAGTCGCGATGGTGCCGTCACCCTGCCCAGGGAAGGAACAGTGTGTGCGCGTGTGTGTGTGTGTGTGTGTGTGTGTGCGTGTACGTGTGTGTGTGTGTGTGTGTGTGCGTGTGTGTGTGTGAGTGTGTTTGTGTGTGTGTGTGTGTGAGTGTTTGTGTGTGTGTGTGTGTGAGTGTTTGTGTGCGAGTGTGTGTGTGTGCGCGTGTTTGTGGCCAGCCGGCACTTCTGGCCGTGCTCGATGCGTCACTGGTTGCCACTGCTCTGGCACGTCACCGCTGTGCTGTTGACGCAGCTCTGATGCCCGGAATCGCTGCGCCGAATGCCGTTTCCGCAGTATCCCCAGCTGTGAATCAGCCCATCCACATGTTTTACCGCCGAATTATTCAGATCAGCCAGCCTTTTTCATTTGAGCGCCGGCACCTCTTCCGGTTGCTCTCGCTTGCTGTCTCTCTTTCTCTCCTTCTCTATGTGTGTCTCCCTTTTTCTCTCTGTCTCTCATCTGCGCGTCTGCCGCCACTGTGGCTTCTCTGCGGCTCGGATGCTACGCTGATGCAGTTTCTCTGCCACCCGCCCGGTCTTGCATCTTCTCGACTGAGGTTCACGGCACGCTCATCGCAGTCTGCGGCACCGTGAATTTTGTGGCTACGTTGCCAGTGTCATTCACGTTCGCCCCCTTAGGCCCTTCACAACCTCAGCGGTCGCGCTGCCCTCATTACTGCGCAGCCTTGGCTTCGACGCACTTGGCCGCTAGCAAAAATGTGTATTGTCTTCGTGTGTGTATGTACCATCTCTCGTATGTGTCTTTCAATGCCAGTTGAAGAGTGACGGGGCCCATGCCGGGGTTCGGGGTTTCCGTGATCAACAGTCTGTAGCAGTGGCGTCAGCGTTTTGAGCATGTGTGTGTACGTGTGTGGGGGCGAGCACTTGTGTTCCCCAGTTCGGGATTAGTGTCTCGCCACGATGCTCTCGCGGAGCCAGTTGGAGTCTCAAGTCCGTGTGCCAGCCTTTTCTGGTTATCGATGTATACATATATATGTATGCACACGTACCTGGTGGCCTTCGGCTCACATTGCCACCGTGCCCTGGTCGTGGGGAAGAGGCTATGTGCCCCTCGCCCAGGACCCGCCTGGCCTGTGCCCGCCTCAGCGCTGGTGTCGCAATTCTTCGGTTGTGGGGCCCAAGCCTGCCATCCGCGAGTGCGACACCACGGCGTCGAATGATCGGCTCTGTAGTGCGCCTGCTCTCAGAATCAGGCCCACGAACGTATTTCCAAGGTGCCGCCCTGGGCTGCTGGCGTTCAGCGCATAGGCACACGTCCTCAGTGTGACCATCTCACGCTTGGCGTGATGGGTGCGGACATGTCGTGCATCGTCTGCGGCCATGTCAATGTCTCGAATTTCCCGCCGCTACATGACCGCGTGTTGCTTTCGTGCGGATGTATTCCGCTATCCTATGCGCAGTAGACCGTCGGTAGAACGTTCGTGGTCTTAAAGTAGAGATGGTTCACAACTCATACGTATCCGTACCTGTCTGATAGTATGATGCATCGAGAGTGAGCAAGGTTTGGATATCCACATCATGGCTTAAGAAGTACTATCATCCTTCATTGCCAAGACACGGCATCCTGTTCGGGCCTAGGCTGACTTTCCTTAATTTCGACCCCACGCATGGTGGGCTCATGCAACAGACCTTCCTCTCCTGGGCCTGTTGGTTCCCACTGCATGCTGAATCTCTCCTCGCCGATGCACTGGAAGGTCCAGCATGCCGCAACGCTTTTCGTCCCGCCTTGTTCACAGGAGCGACTGCGGTTGTGGCGCTGCTTCATGTTGCAGGGTGGGATCGGCGGCCGAGAGCTGGTTGCGGTGTGTGCTGCAGGAGTAGTACTTGTGGTGTGGAGTACCATGTTTGGGCGACCGCGCATGACCAAAGGCTT